ACACACACACACACACACACACACACACACACACACAGTTTCACCCAGGGAAAGGAGGCAAGGGGTTGCGTGCAGGGGCGGGAGAAAGGGATTACAAAAGGGCGAAAGGAAATTTTGGGAGGCTATAGATATATTTGCTACCTGGAATATCTGAGTATGTTCCTAATCTTAATTGTCATAATGGCTTCACAAGGTATATATATCAAAATTATTCATTTCAAATAAAATGCTTTGAATATGTGCAATTATACACCAGTTATACTTCAATAAAACTGTTAGAATGATCTAACAATAGTCAATATATTTATCAGCTGAATAAGCACTCTTTTTATTTTTAAATCATTAAGACTGAACTGTTACCTTGCCACAGAAGAAAGTAACATTTAGTCAATATCCAATATATGTAGGTCTTATGTTAGCTACTTTATATGTGCTAACTTAGTATCATTATCTTAAGGCTTTTATTTGAAAAAAAGGGGTGGGGGGAGAGGATAAAACTTTAGAAACTAGACAAGGCTCAATTTCTATTTTTTAAAAACTCTAACTTCCAGTTCCTACAAATAAAATATATAGCAATATCAATAAACACAGCAAATTTAAATATAAATCCTTCAGAGTCAAGTTCTACAAATTCAGCTGAATTGTCTTATGTGTCCCAAGCGAACACATGCCAGAGCAAAGTTTTAGATTGTATCTTTAAATTATGTTCTCATATATTTGGATGCACTGAATTCTCTACAAATACCCTGAACGAACAGCAGTTCATTTTAAGGGTTAAAAATATAGTTCAGATGGGACCAAACAAAAATAAAAATCCTGTGTCATTGGCAATGCCCACTTTGCAAACTTGCCCCTACTTTAGAAATGATTTGAAATGACCCTTTCATCTACAATATAAGGTACCTGACTGGTGGCTCTCTGAGATGTCTTACAGCTTTTGTCACTCTACTTTCTCCCATTCATTTTCTAAGGAATTACATTAACCATATTTCAAGCAAAATAAAACTGTAACCACTTAAAGATACAAAATATTTTATTCAATTAATTAATATAGTAGAACCAAGGGGTGCCTGGGTGGCTCAGTAGGTTAAGCGTCCAACTTCAGCTCAGGTCATGATCTCATGGTTTGTGAGTTCAAGCCCTGTGCTGGGTGCTCTCTGCTGTCAGCACAGAGCCACTTGGGATCCTCTGTCTCCCTCTCTCTGCCCCTCTCCCATGAGTGAGCATGCATGCACACGTGCATTCTCTCTCAAAGATAAAACATTAAAAAAAAGAACAAAGTACAACATTTGTGGTTCTTGTTTTGTTTTTTTATATTTCAAGTTTTTATTTAAATTCTAGTTAGCTAAGATAGAGTATAATATTAGTTTCAGGAGAATTTAGTGATTCATCACTTACATACAATACTCAGTGCTCATCACAAGTGCTCTCCTTAATACACATCACCCATTTAGTCCATCCCCCACCCCTGCCCACCTCCCCTAAAGCAATCCTGTTTGTTTTCCATAATTAAGAGTGTCTTTTATGGTTTGCCTCCCTCTTTTTCTTTCTTTCCCCTATGTTCATCGGTTTTGTTTCTTAAATTCCACAGATGAGTGAAATCATATGCTATTTGTCTCTCTCCGAATGACTTATTTTGCTTGGCATAACACGCGCTCTAGCTCCAACCACGTCGTTGCAAATAGCAAGACTTCATTCTTTTTTATGGCTGAGTAATATTCCATTGTGTATATATACCACATCTTCTTTATCCATGCATCAGTCAATCGACATTTGGGCTCTTTCCATAACAAGTACAACATCTGGAGGTCTATCTTGCACTCCATATCTTGACAAGGTTTCTAAACTTCAGCACTATAGACATTTAGAGCTAGAACATTGTTGTGATGGATTATCTTGTGCAATGTAAGATATATAGCAGCATTTCTGCTACCCACTAAAGGCCAGTATCCTCTCCCCCTATTTGTGACAACCAAAAGTGTCTCCAGACATTATCGCCAGAGGAAAAAAATTGTCCCTGGTTCAGAACTACTGTTCTGAAACTACTGAAGTGTAAAAAGAGACAAACCAAAAAATAGGCTCTTAACTACAGAGAACAAACATGTTTACTGGGCATGTGAGTGGGGGGGATGGGTAAAATAGGTGAAGGGGATTAAGAGTACACTTATCTTGATGAACATTGAGTGATACATGGAACTGCTGAATCACTACTTTGTACACCTAAAACAAGTATAACACTATGTTAACTACACTAGAATTAAAGATTCGTAGAGGCACCTGAGTGGCTCAATGGGTTAAGCGCCCAACTCTTGGTTTCAAATCAGGCCATGATCTCACAGCTTCCTGGGTTCAAGCCTGTGCTGACAGTGCAGAGCCTACTTGGAATTCTCTCTCCCAATCTCTCTGTCCCTGCCCACCAGCACTGTCTCTGTCTTTCTCAAAATAAATGTACTTTTAAAAAAAATAATAAAATAAAATTTTTTAAATAAATAAATAAAAATAAGACTATGGAAGCACAGTAATCTCTCTTATGGAACTCCTCCACTGACAGGGCAGGGAGTCTGAAAGCACAATATTCTCTATTTGAAGGTTCTTAAGGATATTTTAAGTGTTTATATACAGCATATGCTTCATTTTTTAAAAGCCCATAAATAAAAAGCAAAAGTGTTTTTTTAATTAGTTTTGTCTTCAAACCAAGGAAGCCAGACCCTACAAAATACCTGACACGTGTGGCCTCTTAATTTAGACCAAGTCACCCAGATGTAAAAACCTTTTACGCCCAAGATGTATGAACCGTGCCCTCACCTCTATAACTAAGGAATACAGCAGTTAATTTAGGAAATGTCAATACTCTACTGGAACTTAACTTTATAGCTCCGCCTTTACTCAAGCTACAGTCTGTCCCAAGTAGGTGCCAAATTCCATTCAGTCTCCAATTTCAAACTGCAATTATCTGTGATATATCTCCTACACTCACACATTGACTTTCCCTGTTGCACTCTTAGCCAAATCTTTTCTTCAATGGCTTAACTCAGAAGTAGAATGAAAATAAAAAGATCACTATCTCAACTATATTAAGATTTATATTTTCTTGAAAACTGGATCTCTTTTTATATTGACAAACTGGATTTAATTGCTTTCTTATTCCACAGGAATAAATACAACTTACCTGTGATAAAGATTTGCTGCCACAAATGTAGGAAGAGTAAAAAAAACAAAGACATGAAATCTGGGCTCCAGTTCTGGCTCTGCTTCCTAGTAGCTGTATGACCACTTAACATTTCCAGACCTCAGCTTTCTAATTTGTAAAATAAGGAGTATAATAATATCTACCTCTACAGTTACTGTGAGAATTATAATTTATGTGAAATCATTTTGTAAAACATACAAATGTTGGGTATTACTAGTGGTATCCTGATGGTATGAGTAAACAACAGAGTAGAGAAACATGCAGCAAAAACACAGGACTTACATCACTAATTAAACGTCACTTTTCAGAAAAACACTCATTAGGAAAAGAGCTTGAAATAATACTCTGAACTAGGATTCAGGCATCTGGGTTCTAAACTCAGTTCTGCCAATAACTCTATCAAGGCAAAGTAACTTGCCTTTTCACCTCAAATTCCATCTAAAAAGATCCAAGTACAGGACCACATGTTCCAAAAATGCCAGTACAGCCCTCATCAACCTATGAAATGAGCAAGTATCCAAAAGATTCGTTTAACACTATTACCACAATTCAGAGCACTGTTTGGTCTGCCAGCCAAACGGATGTAGAGAGCAACAGAGAATAAAAAAAAAAAA